ATCTCCCCCCCCCCCCCCCCCCCCCCCCCCCCCCCCCCCAAAAAAAAAAAAGACAACCCAAAGCCTGGCTTTCAGTAGCATGATGAACAAACATTTCAGCACAAGATATTTTTTCCTATATGCTGATCTCTAATTTAATGAAATGACCAGAAATAAAGTGCTACTGAAGTTCAGATGTGACCACTTCTTTCCTCCCTACAGTAATCTGTGCTTGGTACTTCAGTTATTTTGAGGTCAGGTTCAGTTGGTAGTTCTTCAGCTGGCTCCATTTTGCCTCCTTTAAGTGTTCTAGCTTTGTATTTTGGCCTTTTGGCTGGAGAAGGGAGTTTTTGTTAAATTTCTACCATTGTGTCTATATAAATGGTTTCAAGCAGGAAAATGCTACTTCCTTTTGCAGGATACTGTTCTTAAATAACAGGCATTCTATCTGTTATAACTTTGAAAAAAAAAAAAGAGTGAATTCAGCAGTGCCTGAAGATCTTGCCATTTTCTAGTTAAAGAAATCTAAAGATAGATGTGTCGGCACTGGGGAGAAGTGACTGGTAAAATAAGGGGAGCTGTGGTAGCTTGGTAATATAAAGCTTTTATGTTTTTAAAGGAAATAGCTCTTTTTCTCCTCTCTCTTCCCTAATATATACACATACTCTTTTCTGAAGTAAAGGGTGATCTGTTTATTACCATAACCTGGTAAATTGCATGTTCCTTCCTGCTTTCTTCACCTATAGGCATGTTGTAACAAATAACAGATTGGTAATCTGTAAATTGTTTCAAACCAATTCCTTAATTGTTTACACCCCCCACTAATTCCATTGGTGTGTATCTCTCAAAGATATCAAACACTGTTTCCTAATGACAGGACAATCTATGTTATTTTCAATTTTTCTAAAATAATTGAAGTATAGATACCATCATCAACTAGAACCAAGTGGCTTCCAGTATCTTTTTAATAACCCTTGTTCACATGAAAACTGACACATTCAGCACTCCCAAAAAATCTCATGTAGGGGGCTTCCTGAAAAGGCATGGCTTCTCTCACGTATGTCTGTATGTGTGAACAAGAATCTAAAAACTAGGAAGAAAAATCTGCTTATTAATGTGCTTGTGCTCATGCACACACACATGCTCTTAAAGATGGTGCCAAGCAAGTGTGGGTGGGTCGTGGGGAGTTTTGTTTTTGATGTTCTTTAATACACAGAGTACCAGGAGGGACCCAGTCTTTCAGTTAGATTATTCAGTCCATTTTAAGTACTGCAAATGTCAAAATGATGTTTCTAGGGACACTACTCCCTGTGAACAAAGAAATCTGGCTGTCTCCTTTCTCTCCACCCAAATGCATGTTACAGCTGCTTTGGAGGAGGAGGTGGAGCTGCTGCTCAGGAGCGCTCATCGGCTGTCACACTGTAGTGTTAGATTGATCTGTAACAGAAGATGTACCAACCATGATATTAAATGTATATTGACTAGGGAGGAAGGTGGTTTATTCTTCTATTTTGGCTGGCCAAGGGCAATATTCCGTTAAAAGTGGAGGTTTTCCCATGTGTTCCTATGCTCTCCTCAAATGGAGGGGATTTGCACAACATGGCTTGTGATTTTTTTCATCCTCTTAAGTAATGTTATCTTCCATGTTGCAAGAGAAGCAGTTCTCCTCAGTAGCATCAAGGAGCTGACCCTGGGAAAAATAGCCTGATTTGAGGGATGCTCAAAGTACAAATTGGGGGGCACTTGGAAAATAAAACTTGTTTGTGTGTCAAAAATGCAGGCTCAAGGGTAGGCCTCCAGTAAGCCCTGATAAACAATTTATTCACTTGTTGTTATCTTTACCAAGTACTAGAAATCAATGTTTTAACTGACTGTTTTCTTTAGATGGTCTAGGTGGTATTGGCATGGGATTAGGGCCAGGAGGTCAGCCTATTGATGCAAATCATTTAAACAAAGGCATGGGAATGGGCAACATGGGACCTGGAGGTAAGAAAACTACACACTTCATGAAAGGATTATCTAGCTTCTCTTTGTCTTATCAATATTATATTGTTCTTTTTAGAAATCCTCCTTTGTGCCCCTCAATAAAAGGTCTCTACTTACATTCAGGATTGATTGTATAAGTGAAACACTATAGTAATAATGTACAAAGCAAGTCACCTTACATGGTACCCTTAAAGACAGCCAACATAAGGCTCAGCTTATGCAGGTAAATGCCAAAGTGGCTGGGTGACTGGGATCACTATCATCCTGCAGGTCCTGGGAATCTCCTTGGGCTGCTTTTTGCTGGAGTAGGACCTCAGAAGCTCTAAGTCTTGTGGCAGGTTTAGGCTTCCAGTCCCTTAACTGTTGCAGGCAGGAAGGAGCTGTGAATCCATGGGTCTCCCAGCTCTGAGGTAGGTCCCCCCTGGAGTCATAGTAACTAGAAACAGCACAAAGGGTGAACTGGCAGAAAACTGAGCAGTTGAAAACATGTAATGTGGATGTTTTAAGAAAAAAGAAGCAAGGTTTAACTTAACTAGTTTCTTATTTCTGCCCCCCCCCATTGCACATTTTTCAGGATCACAAGTCTTTTCTAAGCAACGATCTCTAAACTAAAAAAATGCCTAAAGTTTTAAAATTTGTAAATGTTTAAAGAAAGTTTCATTTCTTCAGAACTAAAATGTTGTGAGTGTACTTTACTTTCTCTCTTTATAAAAGGTTGTCACCTGAGACCTGATCATAGCAGTACTGTAAATCCATCCCCTTTCCATGCCCATAAATGAGATACTCGAATTTTATATTCCCAGAAGAGGGCAGTTTAAATCCAGGGGTTTGGTTGTGCATGTCATAAAGTTAGAATCCAGAACTGCAGTTCAAATCTCGTCTTTTTAATCAAGGGCCCGCCTTTGTTTAAACGCATAAACAGATTCTATTTAACTAAAAGCACTTGTCTTTATGTATTGACAGACCACTTTTGGTGGAATGCAATACAGTGACTTCCGGGTACATGGTTTGGTACAGAGGATGCTTTTTTTCCCTCCCCTTTTAATCCATTTAACTCTTTGGGTCTGGTATTTGGTTATTTAATACTCCTGTAACTTTTTTAAGGGCAACAGGCATTCAAGGATTTTGTCTAATTATCAACTTTTTTATTTAAGGAGGAAAACTTCCCTGTAATTGAACCTGAAAACTTGGGGTCAACTCATTCGGGGTCAATTTGTAATTAGAACTATTTGGTATATTTGGGGTTTCTTTTTTTGTTGATTTGCATATTTTAGACTTTTTTTTAAAAAGTTTGCCAAATAAATGTGTCTTCCTTGACACTTGGTAACACATTAAGGGTGCTGACAGATGGGGGTGTGATTCAGCTATTAGATAAAAGTGCAAAAAAGCTCCATTAACGTCCTCGATCTATACAGACATTGGGTGAGTCGGGTCTGACTAACACGCTCCCTCCTCTGGGCATGTCCTGGGCTCAGCGTGGAAGCACGCTGCGTTTAAAGAGACCCCCCCCCCCCTTTTTCACGTCTGCAAGCAGCCTAAGTGATTACGTTTGACAGAACATCTGGAGTGGTCTGTCTAGCAACTCGCACTTCCTGGTTTTGGTTCTTGTGCTCTAGCATCAAACAGAAAATGTCCAAACCCAGTCTGTCTTTGGAAACATTTCTGTGAATTGGTTTTATAAAAAATCTTGCATTTAAAGTATTTCTGTGCAGCAAAGAACAATGATATTGCAATGTGAATAGGCACACTTTAAACTAGCTTTCACTAACATACATAAAAGTGAGGATGTGGCAGCAAGGATTTGTTTAGCCTATGTTAAACCTAGGTATAGATTTTAATTACTGTACCATGTCACTGCATCTTCATTGTATTTATCAGTGCTAGCTAGACTAAAGCTAGCATGGGCAGGAATACTTTTATGATATTGCTTCTCTGTAGACATCACGTCAGAGATCTAACCGGTTGATTAGTGTTGGTTTTAATTGGCTTTAGTCCCTTTAGTTAGCTCCATCTAAGTAAAATGGCTTGTACTTCAAGACTGGTTTGCTTGTTATTCTCTGAAAGGGAAGTGACACTTAATCTAGAAGTCTTGTTAATTAAAGTTTAAGTCACTTAACTTTTACAATAGAATGCAGAAGATGCCCAGGAGTGTTGTTATAATTCATAAATGACTTGTGAATTTGTACCAGTTACCCTTGCATCATAACTCTTAATGTGCATTCCCTTTTTAAAATGCGTAGTTCTTATTTGCCTGGAAAATCCAAGTTGGAGAAGACCCATATCTAACTTACTTTGAGAGCATCTTGATTTTTTTTTTTTTTTTTTTTTTTTTT